TTTTTTTTTTAATATAAATACAAACCTCAGTGAAGTAAAAAAGACTAATGAACATCTTTTTCAATGTCATTTTAAAAATTTTTAGCAGAACAGCTGTGTTTGCACCTGCACTTCATGAAGTAATAGTGATTATGTCACAGCATGTAAGTGTGGCCATTAGTACTTACCAGGTAACACGTTCAGATTATAGCATGAAGTGATACCAAACCATCTTTAGAGTCAATCTTAGCGCACAAGGCACTAAATTTTTCTTTTGATTTTTGTGTATTTGTAAAAGACCTATTACACACATATATTTGCCATTTAAAATTACTAGTTTATGACACATATAGCAATGAAAACTATATCCACAACTGGTAACATATTGTTTTAGTGAAACAAGAAAGAACTTACCTGTTTGAAAAAGAACACCTGACAAACAACACTCACAAACTACTTCTGCACCGATATCTACTGACATTTCCACCAGCACCCGTCCCTCTAACTACAGTGTCCTCACAAAGCTAGTAACTGAATGTTACACAAGGATAACATCAAGTCTAGCCTTCTTTCTACTACCACCTACAATTTTAGGATTCACATTTTAATTTTAATATTCACATCCATAGACTATCCAAGTGCTCAGACAGACCTGCAACATGAAGCCCCACTCTAGCTTTGTAAGTGAAAATGAGATGTATCATCCAGAGTCAGTAGCGTGGCTCTGATTCTGAACATGCTTTGGACAACATGTAAGCAGAGAAAATACATTACAGGAATTATGAAAAGAAAACTGCTTAGAAATCAAATTAAAAAGAAATTTTAGACCATTACTTAGAAAGCTCACATAATCTGAAAAAATAGTATAGATATCCAAGTATAAGTATCACTGGTCAATTACAAAATCCCAGAGAGATTTAGAAATAATACATAGTTGTGTAGTTGGTAAATGTTTCAAGGACAGACGGGTTAGGGATAGGTAAAAGATGAGCATCTCCCTCAAATTCTCTCGTCTATTGAGAAAATAAACACGAGTTTGAAATACTCCAAGATCATCTTACTCCTTGGGTGCACATATGACTGCAGGAGTCCACAGTATGGATTCTTCTCCCTGGCGACAAGCACCAAAACAATTACGTAGGATAAACAGCAAAGGGATTATCTAACCATATCCATTCACAAATTACAGACATCTCGGCAGTGGAGATGCACTGCTGTCATTGCACTGATAAAATGCTTAAACTTAAAGCCAGCATCCTGAACCAAAACCATCATTACATTAGTTACCAAGTACTCGCCATACTGATGGGTGCTTCAACTGCAGCATCAGTGAAGAGGAGCTTATTATTGGATAGGAAGACCGTCAAAGCAGAGTTGAGCTATAACTGTAGAATCTTTATGGATCTGAGCTACTTCTGATGGAGTCATCAAGGTGCCCTGGCTCACATCACTTCTGGCTCCTAGAAGACTGGGAATTCAGATTATTCAGCTGCTTGGGTTTTAAATCAGAGATTCATTTTTGAAATTGTTTTAGCTGTACATTTTTTTTGAGAGGTACTAAGAGGCAACCTACAATTTTGAAAAAGTGTGGTTGGTATCTAGGCACCTTCATAGACACATTTGCATCGGTTTGCTGTTTGACAAGACAGTTTACACATCAAAACTGAACAACTTGATTTATTTAAAATTCACCTCAAAATGCATTGTGTTTAGTTTCTTTTTTAAAATGAACATTCAAAGCATCAAAATATTACTAATTTAAAAAGAACCTTTGTTAAGAATAAGATAATTTACATACTGTAGATTGTGGCTGTGAGGGGAGAGAAACAACCAATGGTAGATTAGGCACAGTACTAAGGCCAACATGCCAGAAAACAACACAGCTCTATGCTCAACTTTTAAATGATCTGGACAAAGTAAAACAATTGGGCAGGAAAATAAAACCAATTGCTTACTTGAGGGTGTTTGTGTGAAAAAAAAAAAAAGGTGTTAGTAAGTTTTCTATCTAGACTTAACTCATTCATGTATTTAAAAAACTCTATCTTCTTCCAAATAACAAAAAAAAAAAATGTTTCTAAACCAAGGCAGATTATTATTTGGAACTGGCATAGTAAAACAAAGGATCACAGTATACAGAGCTTAAAATCCTGTACCAGGAAAGAGCAACAAGTGGTTTACAAGGGGATCGTTTAAGTATATTATCTAATCTTTAAAAACAGATATAAAATACCAGTTGCATAGGGATTTAAATATAAGGCCAAGCAGGAGATTAAAGTAAAATAGAGATCAAAGAAGGGCACTATGGTGTCAAAACATAGTATTTCCATTTGAATTAATGTCTAATTCAAAATCACAGTATTTTGCTAGTACTACAAACAGTGAATGTCAAACCGTCCCATTAATCTTGAACTGAAAACTGACATTAGAACTTCTAAATAGTACAAAACTAAAGCTCATTGTCTAAACCTGATCAGTGTATTAGCACAATAGTGCTTGGTACGTACCTGATTTATATACTCTACCTTCTGTAAATAATATAAAGGTTATTTCTTGTTAATAAGTGTGAGATCACAATATTACTGCATGCCATCAGTGGTTTGCAGGCTTACTTGATATTTAATTATTCAGTCTTTAAAAGTGTAAGATCCCACCCTGCAGAATCTTCACCCATTGAACACAGAACACTGTCATTAATAAAATACAACAGAAGTTCCACCACTAACAACTAACATAGAAGCCAGGATTGTAGGTCTAAACCCAGTACAGTCCATTATTATTAACTCACAGCAATTTTTGTTAGGAAGGTAACCTGTAGACTTCCAAATAATCTTGCGTGTATTAAATAGAAACAAGTATGTAACTAACGGTCGTCTCTTGGCATTTCAAGTAGATTATTCAATTGTGAAAGTATTTCCGCAAAAATCAATTTAAAGTTGTTAAAATGAAGTTCAAATATTAATTTCTGTATCTACACGTAGCTTAATTAACCTAAAATTGTAAGGAATAGTAGTGTAAGGAAAAAAAAAAATTCTCCAGATGAATTAGGCGTTAAGGTACACTAACTGGGAATACCTGAACCAACGTTGTAACTGAAAAAGTGCATAAACATAGTAATACTACAAACGTGTTAACTACAGAACAAAAGGTTTTCTAAAAGCTAAGCGATACTATTTTACATGGTATTTACAGGTTGCAATTTTTCCAGAGACCACAGAGGCAGCTTATGATCTTAAAATTCCTTTGATCTATTCAAAGTGTCCTTTGGCTTCCATCCTATTCGGTCAAGAACCTATTCACGCACCAGTGAATCAGGTACTGTACAGTCGAATGACACCGCCGTCGTGGTTCTGTTCTTCTTCAAAATTCACTCCTTTCTGTTCTTTGAAGAAAAAGCAGTGTTTTCATTTCACGCTTTTCGTAGGCGTTTCAGATTCTGTAGACTGTCGCCCATCAGTCCATGCCTCTCGTGTGCTCTTCAGTGCTAGCGTTTTCTGCTGGTCAACAACAACGTAATCAACTCTTTCATCTGCTACACTGCTGCCTGAACCACTGCTCTTTTTCTGGTGAAGGCAAAAGAGAGTGAAAAACACATATTAAAATAAATCCATAACAAAAAGTAAGTAGATGTCCCAAACAGATACAAAACAAGCACACGTTTCTCTGAAAGGTCCAACATAGGCTTTTCGAGTCATCGTTTGACAAACTAGTCAAGATGATCTTGCTGGAGGCTCCCTCTTTCCCAGTAACTACTTGTGAAGAAATTTTAATCTTTTGATGGCAGAAATGCAAGAGTTGAAGATTTGCTTACCTTACGAGGTGGGGTAGATTTTCCTGAATCTAGGTCCAGATCTAAATATTCTACTTGTTTATCTCCCTTAGGTTTTACCATAGGGCTGCTTCCTCCATCAAGACTGTTGCTTCCAAACAAATTCTGAAATTATAATATAAATAACTTCAGCACAAACGTACACGCTAATGGTCCACGTTATCAAATATGCTTATTATGAGCTGCCAAAATATTGAAGACCTGACTGAGAGCTCTTGCCATCAGTTAAACCATGCAAGTTTTATTGACACTGTATAACAAGGGGATATATTCTAAGTCAAAACTGGGACAGGGTTGAAAGCCAACAGGGGGCAAAAACCCCAAAACCAACCCCCCATATTTAAGGTTGTCACCAAGCCAATCTGTGCCTTTCATCTAATGTGCCTTTCACATCATGAGATAAGAATGGAGCGTGGTTTGTTCTTTTTAAATAAAGTTGTTATATCTCAAATTTAGCATTAATTACAAACGTTTTTATTTCCTTAAATTGCTGTTAAATACCTTACAGGAATTTTAGCATTACAATTGTGGCAAAACTTCAAATGAAATTTTTATATTTCATTCAAAAGCCATCATGATTAAGTTGAAAATCAAAAAGTATTATTCAATTGCTAAGACCAAAAGATTAAAACGTTGGAAAATTTGTGTAGGGCTGTCTGAACTGAAGTTGCATTGTATATACCTAAATTTCAATTAGCCCAGACTTTTACAACCTCACCTCCTCTGTCCTCTCCCATCCTGATCCCTCCCTCTTAACAGGTGTTATAGGAACAGTACAATAGAAGGACTCTTCTCTAAAAGATAAAGAAAAAAAAGGAAGACAGAGGGCAGCAGTCAGCAAAAAATGAAGAGGAAGGCAGAAGGAAAGACAGAAGGGTAAGGCTGACAGCAACTTGAAAGAAAAAGCAGAATATTGCTGATTTTGTTTAACAACATAGAAGTATGACATGTCCAAACAAGATGCCTCAAAGCTGATGACAGAAAAAAAAATGAAAGAGTATAGACTCCTTTCTAAGATGCAGTTGGAACAAATAAAAATTTCCAAAATGTCTATGTAATTGGAACATTTTAAAACAAAGGCCTTGAGATATCTAGAAACGTTCAGGTTCTCTAGGAAATAAAATACTTTAGAGGTTAAAGCTTAATGGGCTGGGCTTTTCAAATTGAAGTTACCCATTGTATCTGTACCGTCTAACTCATTTGATAACAAGTGGTAACAAGGACAAACACAAACTACTGAGACGAAGTTCACTTTTGTTGCCCAAATTCTCTAAACAAATTTCTGCATATTTAACATATGAAAATCAGGTTCTGTATCAATGTTTCCAGCATAAATAGAAAAAGCTATTACTCTTTAAATAAAAAGTAATCTGTTATTTCAAAGAAATTAGACAGGCAGAACATATGCATTAGAAAACAGAAACTTTAAATAAATGGAAAAGAAAGGAAATCTGTAGAACAACCTTAAAGAACGAATGGTGCAAGCAAACAGAAGATATTAATGAGAGGCCATCTGAGCTGTGACATTAATTATACTGTCTTGGCACTGAAGTTAAACCCCTGAAACAACATCGTAAGAATCAACAAAAATCCCCAATTTGAACTGCGATTGTGCTGCAGGGAGAACCGTGGGCATCAGTGATTCTGAACCTTGGTGTAAAACGGGATGTTTCTCCCATCTGTGAAATGGGACGTTACCGATTACTTACCAACACCTCTCACAAGAGAGGGGCTAAGTTTTAACATCATCAGCTCCCCGCCGCCAAAGCGCGCTTCAACTGGGAAGCGGTCCTGCGCTGCGGGCAGGTCAGACATGGCACAGAGCATGGGACAGGATGCCATGATGGCTCGTGAGCTTGCACCGAGCCAGAGCTGCCAAGAGAAGTCAGCAGGAGGGGCTCGCTCTGGGGCACCTAAGAAGCAGTATCCAGAGGCAGCGATGATGAGCTGGAGGGGAGGGAGACTGGAGGAGATCAGGGAGGGTATCCAGAGCAGCAGGGGATAGGGAAGCAAGCAGCACGGCGCGAGGAGGAAAGTCCAGGGTGTAGTGAAATGGGCTAGCACATGCCATATAGGAAGGTGGACAAACGAACAGAACAAAAAAAGGTGCTAGACAGGCCCTGCCCAAAGAAGGTCTTTCATAATGCTTTAAAGATGAAAAATCCTGCGGTGTTCCCTACTAAGAACTCAAGCTGTAAAAACGTGGTGAATGCATCGAACTACGCTGAACAAAAAGCTGAGCTCAAGATACAGGTTTTCCTCCAGTGCTTTAGGGGTATTCTGGACCACATTTTAGTTTAGGCCTAGGTCTGCTGCTACTCTCTTACTTTAAAATACCAATGTTGATCCTTCTTTTTCTCACTCTCCTTCCTCCCCCATCCAAGTGAAAACCACAGCACGTGTCATTAACTTTTCTTAACTAGCTCGTCATTTACTGCACTGCAAGCTGAGTATCTGAAACTTTATACTCTGATACTCTGAGTATCCAAAGGGGAAAAAAATGCAGTTATTCAATATAGAAAGACCCCTTATGTCCTTCAAAGTTGTCCTTTTAATAAAGGTTTTTAAGCCTGTCTCAGAGGTTTTAAGACAGTTTATTTCCCTTGATGTCTTAATACTGAACTGGTGCATAGCCCAGGACAAGCAATCACAGGCAAGAGGAGACAGTTTCTAGGGAAGAGGACAAAAAAAGTCACGTATTGAACCGTTTTGTACAACAGATACGTACACTAGCCATTCTCTTTATATATGATTACACTTTTAACTTCTTCAGTGAAATCTTAGTAAAATTACAGTTTTTCTACAGAGACTTTTTTATTACTATTTTGATCTAGAAGCACAAAGGGAGTGATGTAAAGTGGAAGGATTTGTGTTTGCATGATTTTAAAGTAAGGACTGCACAGGAAGAGAGTAGTTAAGATGTAGATTTTACATACTGGGTCTTCAGTGGACTGATTTGGATTCATGGATACATAATTCTCTTCACTGTCGTGCGAGTCACTGCTGGAAGTTGTGCTATGAACTGAATCCGGTCTGGGAGACATGGGAAACCTGGAGGAGCTAATTACCAGGAATTATTTTACAAACAATACATCTTGAATATCTTAAACCTCCTGGTAAACAACAAAAATAAGCATATTAGAGCTGAAGTTTTCATTCAAGTTTACGAGTGTCACATTTTTTTGGTTATACACAGTCCCATATATTTAATATCACAAAATAAAAATTAGTATGGACACACTTTGTTTCAATGTACATGTGCATATATACATACACACACACACACATATACACACACGCTTCCAAGGGAAACCTCAATTTGTATTAGACAGGCTAAAAATCTAATAAAGATGTACACAGATTTATTAACACTCTTATCAATGAAAATAATTAATCCAAATAAGGAAAAGCTAAGAAACTTACTCTCGTGCAAAGCTTCTGGTGATAGGAGATCTAACTGGGGCTTGTAATTCTTCCCATTCAGGCAGAGGTTTTATTTCTAGTGGAGCTGGTTTTGCTATATAAGAAACAGACAATCTTAAAGCACAGAACGTTCCTAAACAAACTTAAATTTAACAGCATTTCAAAGCCTAAATAAAAAAAAAACACACAACTGTTTTTTTAAACAATAAATACTAGTTAGGAAAAGGGAACACTGTTCAGTTCTCAGAAAGCCTTGATTAAGCTATATTTTTAATCTTTCCAGGTACTGAAAAGCAACATCAATTGGAAAAACCCCCACAATTTAAGAATTTTTCAAGTTATACTTGTACATGGTAATTCTGTTTTGAAAAGAGACTTTGAAAACGGCATCATCGTGTTCTGTCTTTACTCTGCCACGATGACTTGTTGAACTGAAAAGCCCAGGATAGGGTTCATGGACTGTTTCAGCAGAGCCAACTCCGGGTACTTCTCTTGACTCATGGGACAATTATTATTATGCAAACTCTACCCTCGCTGCATACATGTGCCCTTACTGATGAGATTTCACAGCTCAAAGCGTGGGCAGAATCTGCAGCTAAGACTAAGTTTGCAAAAGTGAGAGATGACCAACACCCAGCTTCAATTCCAAAAGGTGCTTGGCTTGTTTCAGTGCTGATCAACGGATCAGCAGAGCAGCAGCGTTTTTGTGCCATTAACAACAGCTAACATTATTCTAGAAAAGGTGCCATTTCTAAATTCCATTTTCAGAACAGAACCACAAATAGAGTATGAGTGAGAAACACACTATCCCTCTTCTCTGGCTTGTATGTTTCACCCCTCCGAAACGTGAGGAAAAAAAATAAAAATAAAAGGACTTGGGGGTGGGGTTATTAAAAAAAATTAAATAATCACAGTCAAACTGCTGTCACAGTTTGAATCTCAACTTTATCCTCCCTAAAACTGTTTTTCAAAACTAAAGATGCAATGTCATCACAATAACAGCCCTTGTCCTCACCCCCACCCCAGTTTGCTGCCCATTAGCAGATTTATCAAGATCAAATGTCAGGCACAGAGCACAAGTTCATGTTCAGTTAGAGCTGTCACAAGTGACCACATGAGGAACTGACAGAAATCAGTTGCTCAATTGGCATGGTTGTCCCATAAGGGAAAAACAGAACTGTACTTATTGTACTTTCATTATACTCAGTCTTCAGATTGAACTTTTTGAAAAGTCAGCTATCTTTATTGAATATAAGGACTCCCGATCCGAATTTTCTGGATCGGTATCACTCGAGTACCCCAAACGGTTTTCTCCTTTTCTCTGTTTAAGAAGTCATAATTACGCACTCAAAGCGCATCAAGCCTACTCCAGCAACTCTGCCACTTTAACTGACTTGCTCATAAAACGCCGTCACCACAGGCTCAGAGGAGGAACTACGACTCATCTGTCTCAAGTTATAAGGTATCATATGAAACAAGAGTGGCAGAATCGAACTTGACATAGGCAAGATGACACTAAAGCATGAGTGACACAAAAATGAACAGCTTGGCTCAAGTCCTCGGTAAAGGGCTGGGACTACCTGGCAGGAATAAACGGCTGGCAAGGTTCTGCTCCAGCAGAAGCAGAGTCAGGACTTAGACAAAACCCACTGAGAACAGCAGTAATATTTCATCCAGTTGCAATGGGCTTTACCAACCGAAGGTAATGATCAGTGACACTTCCAGGAGATTTTTAACATTATTTGTAATCTCCTGTACTTCTTAACGACTATATAAGGCACCAAGTCAGCACCTTCAATAAAGCCCATCAGACTAATTGCGAGCCTCATAAAGGTGCATAAACAAACCTCTGCACTAGTAAGTGGTCAGAGGATCAATATTTTGCTTTATTTCAGTGTTTGGCCAACAGCAGGAGATCCAAGTAAACTGTGATTTCAGGTTATTCCCTAAAAAAAAGTTATTTCAAGCAACTTACAGGTAAGTTAAATATACTTGCTTCTAAATAAGCAGACAAAAATAAATCCAAAACATGAACAGCTACAACTTAAGAGATCAGAACACCCATGTTAACGTCAAGGAAATGTTTTCATGTGCTGCTCAAGCCAGAAAGACTTCAATTCTGTATATAGCAAACTTTTTGCTTGTCAAGGAAAATGCATCCATGATCTTAGATTATAACAGAAGTAAAAAGACTATACAAGACTTAAAGTTATTCTAGAATAACAGTTTTCTTAATTTTTGTTTACTTATTTTTATAAAGCTCCATATACATACAGTGCTAAAGTACATACCCTTTCTTCTTGTAGTAAAGTCACCTATGGTTTGTGAATCAGTTCGCTCTAAACCATGTGGTTTAGGTCTTAAAATTTTAGGACTTTGACCTAATTGGTAAAAAGAAGACTCTCTTAATAATATTCTATTTGTAACTGGAAAATGGAATTTTGTAAATAAAGAGCACAACCCCCTGCAGAAAGGTTAACGCCACAAGCATAAGCAAGCTGCCGAAGGAGTTTTACAGTCTTGCTAGGTCTCACACTAAGGGCTTAAGCACCAAACCAGAAACAAAGAAAACACTGCATGCAAGTAATTGGTTGAAAGCAAGCATAAAAAGGTGTACAAAAAGGCTAAAAAGTGCATCAACAAACATTGTAACTGATCATTACTATTAACTGGTTTCAAGTTACATTACGTGAAAAATTCTGGTTTTGAGTAATATCTAGCATGATAGGAGAAGAGTAATGTTTCAGATGCAAGTTGAGGTATGCTCAAATAGATTAAATCCTCTTTAGTCACAATATTACTTTGGAATTAGTGATACTCTTGGAAGGTCTCCTATCCACCGCTCATCTCCCACATGAGAAGCCCCAAGAATCTTTTTTCGCACCGTATTTGTTAAACTTGTTCCCCAGAGGCCTGTATCTATCTGTACCAAAAAAACCTCTCTGACCTTGTGGACACAAGGGGACTTTCCAAGCTCCCAGTCTGTATACTGTCCCCTCGCCATGGCACAACCCAGTCTCCACCACAAACAACCTGTCATAAAACTGCAATCTTTAAAGCATTTTTTAATTGCATAAACCAACATAAAAGTGCAGTAGATGCACTAATCATTCCCCAATACCTTACACTATCATGTTATTAGCATAACATTCCCCTACGTTATGCTATCCCACAACGTAACTCTTGAGATCAATCTGGTAATAAGGTGAAGAGTACAAACTCAGACAACATTACAGTCAATAAGCTCCCTACAGACAGTAACATAACCCCTCTCCCAGCAACGAAGTTCTTGGCCAACTTGACCAAACTCTGCAAGTGTTTCAGGTCACACTGTCTTCTTTAATTAAAAATGATCAATAACGCATAATAACTCTAAGCTTTCACGTCTATCTGACAAAGTGTTAATATTAGGAAAGGTGAGTGTCTTCGAGTGGTACACCAAGAAGTCGTATGAAAGGTAAATCTTTACAATAAACCAAATGAAAAGTTTAAGTCTGATTATGTTAGAAAGTTGCCCTACAGCACAAAATTGAAAAGGACCGGTACAGACTCAGATGTGGGCTAAATTGAGTGAGAATGCTTTGTAATAAATAAATAAATAAATAAATAAACTTGGCAAGAGGTATCAGAAGTTTGCAAATCTTTACCCCACAGATTTTGCATATGAAGTGCTCTATTACTGTTATCACTGAAGTATTGGGAATAATCAAGTAACAACAAGCAAGGTAAACAGAAAGGTTTTGTACTGTATCTTAATTTCTACACAGTGTTTCTGAGAGACCATGCAGGTAAGACAAAATTTACTTATTTGCTAGTAGTGCTGCATAGCAGCCTCCTTAAAAAGAAAAGGCCATGAAATGATTTTCACGCAAACAGTTCTGTTCCAATTTCAAAATCAGATGCTCCCTTAAACGGCTCGAAGTGCCAATGGAGAGGCCAAGCCGTTGGGCAATGCTGACCAAAGACCCAGATTGTCAAGTGGTACACCAGGCATTTATGTAAAGCATACTGTTGGCTGGAGCTAAGTCAAAAGCATGACCCAACATGCTGGCATACTTCATGGTGAGCTGATTTGCTATTCTGAAGTACCTTGCCTACAACGCTATGATAAAAGCTTGCCTATATGAAAAGATCAAAATCTTAAAATCAATTGAACAAATGTAGGAGTTCAAATTCAAACACCTTTTATTAAGAACAATTTGATGCTGAATATCATTACCTAATCATATTAACTTTGTGTTCCACAGTTTTATAATCTGATTGGCAAGAAACGTGGCCCTATACAGCTCAATTTAAAATGCCAATCAATGCACTGACATATGAGCACAGATTGTAAGTACGGTGAGAAATCTATCAGAGGTACCAGGAATAATGAAATTACTTCACCACTGTGTACTTTAACCTCTCTGCTCTTATAGCCAAACATAGGCTGAAGTGCCTGAAATCTGTAACACAAAAGATAAGCGCAAAGAACTCAGAGCTATGACTCATTATTTCTACTTTTGTTAATTATGCTAACGTGGTCTCATGCAGCTAACCTTCCTGAACTATGATTATCCCCATTTGTAAAACATGGACATTATATAATTATCGGCCTCATACTTAATTTAGCACTTACAAGCTGAGACTTCCAGAAGAGCTATATAAGTACAAGTCCTTATAATATTTCTCTTCTGCATCAGACAAGAACATACAAAATGTTCCAGTATAAAATAAACTCACTGAGCTTTCATCTCTTGGTGCTGAAAGACTGTTCAACCTAAATAAATTTGGTGGCAAAACAGCTTGCTGCTACCAACCAGCCAGGATAATGCAATTCCTCTAGTTTAACATGTCACAGAGAATTAAAGTGTTTGTGCAGGCTGGTTTTATTCCTCCCTACAAACAAAAAAACAAAAGGTCTAATCTCTATTGAGGAGCTTATACTGTGCAACAGAAAAAAACGTGACACCAGGCAAGGGAAAAGGGGAGAGGGGACCACAATCACAAAACTGAGGTTGGTTATTTATGTCTGTAGTGCAGGATTCCTCCTCTACCCTGGTTTTGCCCATTTAAGAAGACAAAGTAACATGAGCTAGGGCACAGAAAGCCCTTAATAATATCCTTTACTGCTTCAAAAGACATATTTTTAATAAATCCATCAGAAATTTTAAAAGTGCCATTCTTTATTTAAAAATTGACAGTTCTGCCACTATCTTAAGCCAGATCTGTGAACAGAAATATATATATTTTTTTAGAACTTTGTATCTTAAGTACTGCAACTGAAATTCCTGGTGCTGCTCCCAAGTAACCTCACTAATTTTCCCCAAGAGCACTTCCTAGCTTAATATAACGCAGAGGAAAAAGTGTCTGACAGCTGTACACTGGACTGGTCTTCAACATCTATTCTTTTCAGAAGGAATCAATAAAGATAAGCATCACAGGGCAATTCTTGAAATCGGCGTTATGAAGGTGGAAGGACAGTAGGTCTCTACGGAGAGTTTGGCTCCACACAGCATTCAAACACCAGTAAAACTGAGGAACACATGTCCCATGGCTTAGGCCCACAGGACCAAATTTACCTCATCTAATGTTTAGGCACTCACACAAGACAACATTTTTAACTTACACACCTATTCTGGGAATGATAAGTCTGGGTTAAAAAAAAAGAGGTTTTATAAATTTATTTTTTCTTAACTGAAAAGGAGACAAATTGTGTTGCGACACTACTGGATGCAAACCTACAGGGGAAACAAACCCAATACATTATGGCAAGTGAAACCAACCAAACAAGAAGTAAAAATTAGATGTTTTTGTTGTTTAGTCAAGTCACCACCTGTGAAATGCAAAGTGCTACAGCCAGGAGAGAGAAGCTCAGCTTCTGCATGTTCCATCAGACAAATGCTGTGCAAGGGCACTCTGAGGTGAAAAATCACTAATGAAGTCTATTTTTCTAACAAGTGGCTGCTTGTAAAAACTGCCAAGCAGAACAAGCGATTATGGATCTAGCGTTAGAGTGCACTCAGACGACATGAATTCTGCTCCTGACATTTCGGTGTGTGTCAATGCTGCCTTTGTCTGAGAAGTCATCAGGAGAAGAGTCCATTTCACATGTTTGGTTTTGTTTCAAATAACGGTTTAAATTGAAAAACCTTTTGGTTCTTCCATTGGCTAATATATTCCTTCTTCTTGTTTTCCACAAAACACTTGGAATATAATGTTGCAGGAGAAAAAAAAAAAGGGGGGGTCCCACCGCAGCAAATTCCTGCATTAGAGTAGGTGGGTCCTAACATTTTTGGTTTTGAGGACGTAAGCTGCTCACTGAAGAGCCGCGTTTGTTTTCAGGCTATCGCCTTGAAGCGCAAGTACTAAACAAGATTTCTGTTCAGAATGCTTCTTTTCCAGCTGCCTGCTTGCTCGATGGCTTGCTGGCAAAGAATTTTATGTCAGGAAATTACAAACATCCTCATGAAAGAGGCCAACACTCTATTTAAATACTAGTTATTTAGAGCTTAAAATTTTAAAGTAAATCTACTAACATGTCATAAAATTTGAGAAACGCATGATCTGTTAATGCCGTTTCCTGGCCAACAGGACTAATCCACATGAGACAAGGAGAATAGACCTAGGAATGCTACAGCAGCGCTTTACTTGGAATAGGAGGGAGAGAGCAAGAGGCAAAACCAGCCACATGAAGTGTCCTACATCCACAAAAGTACTTTCAGAGATGTAACTAACAGCCATTTCCATTAAAAATACGCATCTTTCCCCCTCTTCTCTGTAATTAGAGGAAACAAAATTGCACCGAGGTCCACGAATTCCAGTACTCAGAACCACTGTAGATTTTTCCTTAAAAAACACGGCTGAAGCTCACCATCTTACTCCCACAGGGGTTATTATTTGGTTTTTCAATTCTGCGGAACAACCTCCTCCTTTCCTTGTCTTCCTCACCCCAGTGAACTCTGATTCCTGAGTACACGGTCTTCAGCACAGAGCTCTACAAATAGCCTGAATTTGCTTTTTCATCTTTGTTTTTATTAATACTATTTCCTGTCAAGGTACTTCTAATTAGAAACATGTATTTAGTTATACAACATTCATATTCACTTCCACATTAGTATTCAGCAACAAATAAGATCATCAATAATGCGCTTAGTTTTGGTCAGTGATGCCACATGGATGGTGATAACTACAGTCTCTTCAGGACAGAAAAAACAGAAATAAATTTATTCTTTCACCATTACGAAATATAAAAAGTAGTCATCTAAAGAGATGCTCTCCTGTTTTCTTAGATATCTTTATCTTCTCAAAATAACTTCTCTTAGAGTACTGGTACTTTGAATGCTCCAGAAATTAAGAATGAACCACAAAAAGTTATCTGATTATAAAGAAGTCCAACTGC